GCTGTAACATTATATTTACATTGTAGTTGATTGTCCTGCTGGAACATATTATGATAAAGTTGATTTTAAATGTGTTGAATGTAAACGAGGATATTATCAACCTTCAACCAAACAAATGTGGTGTATAAAATGTGCGGAAAATAAAAGTACTGTCTCTACAGGTTCAGTTTCGGAATCCGACTGTCTTCGTAAGTACAGTTTTTCCAATATTTCACTTGTGGCTCACAATGACTCAAACGCGTGGCTCAACTTTCGTTCGTGGTAAGGAATTACTATTACTATGGCTTTTTATTCAAGAGAAAATTATTGGGAATTGGCACCACTGCGTCATCGTGTATATAGCTAATAATTATATTTTGGTATTATGAAATGAACTGTCTTTGTCTTCCTTTAGTACCTTGTGACTTGAATACTGGATATTGTTTAAACGGTGGAACTTGTAAAACTAGTGGTGGCGAGTTAGTTTGTGACTGTCCTGTGGCTTACGAGGGAGATAAGTGTGAACAGAAGAAAGGTAATTACAGACTAATTGACTGATCAGTATGACTTTTTATTCAAATTTTGAAAGATCTAGTTCATGTATAGTTGTTTAGCTAAATAGTCTCTGAAATCTGAAATGACCGGCCACATCAGTGGTTTTCAACCGTTTTCTTTCTTTTACTCTTCAGGATCCTTGATCGATCACATGACCCCCTTCCTCCATTAAATCCTTACCATTTCATGATTTTCTCTTAGGTTTTCCCTGCAATCTTTTTCATCTCGGAAAATACAGCCTGACTGAATAGAACAACTTAAATTGTGATTGTCCAAAAAAGTTATTTTAGAAAGCAACGCACCTCATTACGTCCCAAAAATGTAAAAATTACCCCCCCCGGACTGAAAACCCTGAGCTACATAGATATTTGTAAGAAATTCCACCAACTTCAATAGGTAGGATTGTTGTACAGTCTGTGCCTTTTTAGCCAAATAAGGCACAGAAAGATATGACGTTACCTCGATCGGATTCCATATACACCCTGACATTTTGCATTGCTTATTTCTTGGTCTGATTCAATAATCATGATCATATTATTCTGTTTCTTGTTGCAGAAAGTCGACAGGAATTGACTCCGTTACTAGGCACAGCTATAGGTGGAAGCATGGCGTTGCTCTTACTTATCCTTTTAATAGTAGCTGGCTGTATGTACTTTCGGTAAGGACCATAATTTAATATACCCCTCAATAAACATGGTGAGGTGTCGGGTAATTTTAAACATTGCGAGTCAGGGTTTATGAAATTCGGGTCATTTTAAACATCTTACATTGCAAGTCAGGGTTTATGAAATTCGTGAGGATGCCTTTTACAACAGGGACAAATATTTACTGTGAACCTGAATGAAAGATTTCTATAAACACTAGGCGTGAAGCTGATAAGGAATGTTGAAGATTAACCTTAGGGGGCAGCATTCAGTGGCGGAGCCAAAGGGGGGGAGCCCCTTCGCAGCCAGTGGGCGTATACTTACCTATCTTGCCTAGCAAGCTATCTTGTTTTTTTTTTAAGAATCCGGAAGATAAATAAAGAGAAATCAATAGAACGAAGCGTAACTCCGGCGAGAGAAGAGAAAGGCGTCCTGAATCCATATGACTCTCTGTATGGCTCTCAACTCAGCTCATCGTTCGGGACTGGATTTTCCACAAATCAGATCAACGCTATGAAATCAATACCGAGAATCACCTTACCTAATATGGACATTGAGCAAGGGCCATAGAACACAAAGGACAGATCAACTAATTTTACTAAACGTTTGCGACAAATTGATGCTTAATCTTGATAATCTTTAAATTTTGGTTTTCCCCATGCTTTACATATAGGCCCTAAGGCTACTAGTTTCCTTTGGAACTGATCTTTTTTTTACAAGAGTTATATCACATTAACAAATGTTAATATCCACCCATTATTGGTAAAGCTACCCTTTCTGTTTTTTTAAATTTTGTATATAATTTGGTATTGGAAACCATTACTGTTGTTATTCCTATCTCTTATGACTGATATATTTCTTCAGATGTAACGTCATAGCCATAACAGAAGAACTTATTGGGGAAAGTAATGTCATGTATATTCAACTGATGGACATATTTGTTCGAGGTCTTTGAGAGGAACATTTATTTGATAGAAAATTGTTTCTAGATGTTGACATTTAATAAATAAAATAAAGATTTTGTAGAATAAATATTTATATTTTTTGCACAACTTTCATCGTGGGTTAAGAATATCTTAGTTATCAACAAGTTACACGGTTCCGAGGACTAAACGCCTTTTCAGCTTCATCGAAAACGTTGCATGTCCCATGTAGAAACGTTAAATGTTAACTTTAAATAAGATAATCGCAATGAATTGCTAGAATAATAACTCTAAATAATTTATGTGCAATATTATTCAAAATATACAAAAACAGATAGATCACCAGACAAAATGGCAAAAAATATAATACATAAATTGTAAAGAATAATATCCATTTTCTGTACTTCTAACATGCAACGAAAAAAAGGTGTCGTCAGATTTTTTTACAGACGGACCCACAAAAGGGTAACTCGGGATATAACCCAGATATTATATCTCAGAGATATATTAAATCTACCAGAATGCTTAAATAAATGGCATACGACATACACATATGAAACTACGTATGCATGGTTGTTAGATGAAATTACACACACACCCACACGTAAAGCCTTAAAGTCACCAATAAAGCCGTTTCCAAACCTTTGAATGTGGTTGAAATTTTATAGCTTTTTTAATTTATTTGACTAATTATGTCGAGCAAGAGATTCATAATGGTTGTGATCTACGTTCGAGTGCGTTATTTCCATGAAAGAACCATACGACGAATACATTGTAAATTACGAGACAAAAATAATTTTGAAAACAATAAAATTTCAAATACACAAAACAACAGAAAACATTTAAATAAGATATATGAAAAACTAATAAATAAAAAAGAAAAAAACGCGGAAAACTTGGCTTCTCATAGTCCGAAACATTTGCCTCTTGTTTAGCCTCTGATGGATATTTTGACAGTTGTCGGCTGGAGCAGAGTCAGAAAAAATAGGCCCTGTTAAAATAGTGTTTCTCCACACCTCCGAAGATGCGCTTTTTCTGACAAATTATTAAATTACCTTTACTACCTTTACTGTAAATTAGTGTTGGGCACCACAACTTTCGTTTTGCTAGTATCACGTGACTCTGTGACAATTGAACCTTCAGCTTTAAATGGCTGATGCGAGATCAGTTTCGTTTAAAAAAAAAATCTAAGACGTGAAATAAATAACGAAGGGAGAAAGTGTTGGTGCGACTGAACTACACAAATATTATTTAACAGGACCTTGTTTTCTGACTCTACACTAGCCGACATCTGTCAAAATAGCTATCAGATGCTGGAATATAGAGACAAATGTTTCGGTCTAGGCTTTTTGAGTTAAAATAAGACGGCATAACGGTACGAGTTTTAAGGCTTTCAACACTGCCAAGGGCATGATAATTCAATTATAAAGACGTATAAACATTTACATGTATATATCCATAAGAATATTACAAGATATGACATGGGCGCTGGGTGTAATATTCTGAATTTCCGAATTCAAAATTACACAATCCTTTGGCGGAATTTTTGCTTATTCGGTCAATTCTGATGATTCGGGAATTCGGAATTTCACACCCACCGCGACATGGGTTATAACTAGATCTATACATACAATTATTCAAAATAACAGAAAAATCTTATATTTATATTAATATACATATCACAGGGGCTTGTCATTACTGTAAAATATTCTCTGTAAAATACAACAATTTGGTGGCACATTGCCTCTCGAAAATCATCATCAGTAATATAAGAATTTAAATCCAGGATAGAATAAGGCAGTGGCTTCTGTTTTCATTTCTCAAATCTTTTAAATGGGGGATAACTTAAGTTTTGAAATTTGCGTAACTGGGACCAATTTCAAAGAATTTTAATTCTATAAAATCTTTATGAAGTAAATATTCCGTTCCCAGTAAAAGCCGTGCGGATATCGAGGTTTCCGCAGTATAGGCAACCGGATAAACGCGGCATTACTGTATATGTGCTATATGATATGATTGGTTAATACAGCTAAATCTAAAATAAATTTTAGTGATTAACGACTGATAATATAACATTACTGACGAATTGTATTGTTGCAGAGAAAACACTACTAGAATTATAAATACATGTACATACAAAAACTAAATTATCAAGAACGATAAGTAGATGCTGTAGTGTAGCATAGAATCCCGTTGACAACATTTTGTCCTTCACTTTTAGTTTATAAACATTTCTATCAAGTAACTTTTACCGTTTGACTTTAGTTTGTTTCATTTAATAAAGAGTCCCACAGTGCTCCAGACAGTGAAGTTACGTTCTGTCATTTATGTCTAGTACTATTTTGTTCACGTGATTGTGCCCCAATCAACACATTGAAACATGGCAATAATGAGGAAGTTTTGACTTAGTCATAAGTCTCGTCTTTATGAAGCTGACACACTTTTGTTATTGTTTGCCTTAAATCCCTCGCTTCACATTCATTTACATATTCCTTCGTCCACAATTTGTCAAGAGAGTTCACAATATATTTTTCTCATTACAATGTTCAATTTCTGGACAAAATAAACGATTGCGCATGTCAATCATTTATATTTATTTCCGGTTCGATAATTGAGCATAAACCAAACATTTTTATCCCCTGAGATCACATGACATGCTCATTCCTCCGCTTCACAAACAATATTTCTTGAATGTTAATTTTACACAGAAAAATTTCAATTAAATTGCATAGATAGGGGAGATGTTTTCCCAATTAGGGATTAACTGTACAATCTGCCCATAGGCTACTTTGGATCAACATCGAATCCATTCAGTAGTGATTATCCACAGTTTGCTAGTACTTGGGGTTCAGTTCGTAATAGTTATTGTCCAATGTTAGTCAGTACTTGATGTTCAAATCTAATAGTGATTATCCACGGTTAGCCAGTACCTTGGGTCCAGTTCGGTTTCTCGTTTAGAAGCTGATAACGGTCGCAGTGTTTTGTCCTTTAAGTAAAATTCCAGTTCGGCTGGTCCATCATATTCTCTCGTTCCGTCAAAAATATTTGAGTCATTGGATCGACTGTCTTTTCTCAATTTATCCTTACCAGACCGTTGCAAAGTCGCATGCGTGATATTGTTTTGGTAGTGACTAGTAGGAGGTGTACCAGTCTCTACGTATTGAATCGGAGGCAACGAACCGCGTCCTTCCGGAAGTGAGGCTATAATCCGTTCCTGTTTACCAGGAGGAATAGGCGAGGGCCAATTGTCACTTCCGCTTAGTGATAAATCTTCATCGTCCGTTCCCATTTCACTTCCAGCCGGTGAAAGGTCAATAGGAGAAATTGGCTTCCGGTATTTCTTGCGGACAAATATTATACTAAGTATAAAGGCGATGATAATGAGGAATATCACAATAGCTAAGGCAATCATGGCGTATTTCAGCGCACTGTCGTCTGTGGCTGTGATGAGTTGGGTAACAACCTGGGTTGGTTGAGATTCGGTGGATCGTCCAAGAATTGACACCCATAGGAATGTGGAAGTTGATCGCCGATTGACAGACTCTTCTTCCGCCTAGAATACATTTGCACAAAATAAATTTCATTTGTCAAAAACACAAAAATTGATCACAGGTACAGGATGGATCAGAGCTCATGTAGACATCGCACCTGGTCGTTTAGGTTAAGCATAATGAGCCAAAGTGCTAACGGCATGAAATCCCAAATAACAGACAATTCAGTGTTAACAGTCGAATGTTATATATCAGTATTTTCAGCGGATTCATTTCAATGAATCGTACACATCAAAAACAAATACAGATTGTCTCATGCACTAATGGCGGATAAATTGATCCTCAGATGTCGGAATTCACAATTCTTTATTTTCAGTAGAATTCATGGTGAAAAAGAATGATTTCGTGGAACCAATTGTGCTGAGAACTTAGTGGGTTTAGGAATTATACATACTAGAGCAACATATATATATTTAGTATTTAGTACCTGTATGGTCAAACTAAAACTACTGGCATCGACATCCTGGAAGTCTTTAATAACCGATACCACCCCTGTGACGTCATCAATCTGGAAATGGTCTTTGACTTCTGGTAGGTTACCTTAAATGGCGACAGATTTGAAACTGTTATAATCTGGACACGCAAAAGTATTTGGGGAATCAAGATTTTGTCCTCATCAAAGTTTTGTGTCTATCTTAGATCTTAATTAAAAATAAACTGAATTTTTACGCACTACTCTTTGGCATACTAGTGATATGATGTAATGACTGTACTAAGTCTCGGTCCCATTTTTGAATCAAAACAAGGGCAAAATCATGTGGTTACACGGGAATTTTCCAAGGAGGAGATTATCAGAGATAAATAACAAAATATTCAATAACTCAACCATATAAATAAAACATTAGAAAACAACAATGATTTAAAGAAGTAAGAAATAAAATATTTGGTTAGAATATGAGAAGATTGTGTTATAGAATATAATAATAACTACATTAAAATTACATACCTACCTAACTTGTTATAAAAAATAGATTAAATGGAACTTTTCTTAAAACTAACAAATTTGTATATCATAAACAATGTACATTTAATAACTTCATAAAAAATCCGTGCAAAGGACAATTCCGTTAATCAAAACCTCGTCCAGAGTATGGCAAAATCGAGAGTAATAGTTGTGTAGTAGTGGATTCCTCCGAAGAGAAGTACCATAAAGTGTTTAGAAAAGAGTAAGCATGATTCATAAGTTCATAAAAAAACTTTCCTTTGTTTATTCGTGAACAACATTTTTACTATTTACATGACCCACCTATAATAACAATGTAAATTATAGAAACGTTGTGCACAAAAACATCCCATCTTCACAATGTCAAGCTAGTAGAAAGACAACAATACTGATATCTACTGCAAAATATCACTGATGGATGAAGTCGTGAATAAATTCGGCTCAATAAATTCAAAATTATTAAATAAAGTTACACTTACCATACCTCGTTGATCACCGATGATAAAAATAAAAATTCTTAAAAACCAGAATCAAATATTAATACAAACCATGTGGAGATAATAATGGTCCTTTGTTTGTCTGATTGTCTTACCGTGGGGTGCTTCAAATTACAACATTTAGCAACACATCTTACAAGATAGATAGCCATGGTAGCAACACTGTCACAGTCACTTCTATTTTAGCAGTAAAAACCCCAAATTGTCAGCCAAACTCCAAAAGCAGTATATTGTGGACATATTATGCCACCAATAGAATATCTTGCCTAAACCAGCGCTGCATTATTCATATACCCACCAAGACCTCTGTCCTCGTCCAGAATCCAGTTTTAGACGCTTCCGAGTTAGTTGTGCCTTACCTCCGGACCTGGATCTAACTAAACAACATGCTGTATAGGGTAATGTATGTACGGAGACTAAATATGCAATAGAAAAAGCAGAAAAGAAGGCAGATCCCAGGGTTACGAGTAATATCAAGCTGGAATATTAAAATAACAGATTAACATAAGGCAGCATTTTCAACAAAACAGTAAGCATTTAAGCAGCACCAATAAAACTTTAGTATGAAAGCAATGAAACCCAAAGGCTTATTATTTGTGTTTAAAGAACACAATCCTCGTATTCAGTTGAACGAGTTCGCTTTTATCAAGTAATCACTCTTTCACAGATGTATTAATGAAACCAATTTGGATTTGTTAAGGAGAATAAGAGGATTGCAGCTCTAATCTGGTCAGGTCAAAGCAAAGATATAATACAGCATTACGACATAACCGACCCCAAACATATACCATCAAATTTAGAGTTTTAAAATCCTCAGACTCAGTTACAGTTTTAAAAACATTTGAATTCTGTGTTAATATTTTTGGGTTTAATTCAGCAAAACTGATGTGTTTCAAACGTTTTCGAAAATATAAACTGTCCTGAAGATTCTATCTCATCATATATTGTTAAATCCAACCCCAAAAGCACCTTTAAACATAATGCACATGCGTAGTAGTACCGAACCATATAGATAAGCATATAGATTGATATTATTTGGATTGTGTAAGTAATGATAAGACAAGTCCCATTAATACAGTAATATTTAGTATATTGGATATATTCCCTGGGTTAACTAATTGATATGCAGATATACAGTCAAACTTTCCCCAAAGCGAATTCAATAATAATTTTGAAGTAGATCGTCAACACTGATTCAAAAGTGCAGAAATAAAAAAATTTCGTTATTTTTGTTTATAAAGTCATTAAGATGTCGCATAAGCTGTAATTGTAATATGATCAATATACAACTTCTAGAATTGTTTGTCATTCAGATTATGTTCAGCGTATCAATATTTTCTAACGTATACAACGATATTGCTTCAAAAACATTTTACAGTTTGATGAAATGACTGGTCAATATTTGAATAAAATTTTAGTTTAAGTTTCTATCTTAAATCAAAATCGACTGACATGGAATAGCCAATTAAACAAACAGAAAATATCTGAACATTGTAACTTAAAATTAAGATTAAATTACTACCGGAAGCGGTCAGATCTTAATTTGTGCTACACGTCGCGTAATAGCCACGAGTTAAATGTTGTTGTGGAGTTAACATTGAACCATAACAATTCAAACAATTGAAAATCGAAATACTTAATACAGTTTCAGAATACTAATTTTTCACTTAAGTTTCACGGAAGATAAAGGGCTTCCGTCTTCCATACGCGTCATTAGCGATACTAATATGTAGCTATTTGCCAACTGACTAGAAATGAAGGTGTCAATATATCCCGTCCGTTGACCTGTATATCTGCATGAAGAAGGAGATTAAAGACTAAAGAGTTTGTGAGGCAGAGTGAATGACAGAAACGCACCGTTAACTAAACTGTATCTTATAGAGTAATTCAAACTATCTCTATCACGTGCAAATATTGGGGCAGGTGATAAATCATTTAAAGGGCCCTGGAATAGACAATATCAGATATAATATTATTATTTGCCAATTCGCTTTCAAAACTGACAGTAGCTCAGCATGGTAGCTTGACAGACTTCGTTCTTTTTCGTTTTTAACCGAGGTTTTTGCTCCTTTCACTTCAAACATTGTATTGTCAATCACTGTTTTGTCCTGTCCACGCAGTAGACCTTAGACAACAAAAAACAGGCTAAGAAGAATTAGAACTTGTATCAATGCACAAGTGGATTGATTTTGAACAATGCCTCTAAGTAGAGAACCTTGTAGGGTATTTTATTGTGAGCAAATGGCAATTATTCATTAATATCGATGTGGTATGATGTTATTTATTCTGGAGTAGAATATGACCAACCAAGATTTAAACGAAAATAAAGTCAATTGTAGACTTACTGTAAAATCATCAGCAACTGACGATTGGTAGAAAATGGAACACGGTGAAGTCTGGCAGCCTTTATAATAGAACTCAGGAGGCTGATCATCCACGTCTAGAACATTCACGGTTATCAGGGTGAAATCTGTCAAACCTCCACGATCCTGGAAAACAATGGGATATTTATAACGAGATGTCATCTTACAAATTTAATTTGTAATACTTCCCTTTAAAATAAGGAAAATGTAGGAAAAGTAGGTCACACTGACCTACTAATGAATAAAGATAACAAAGTTAGGCTCATAGTCGAGTTGCATCAGATGTATTAGGTTTGGTATATCACATGTGCTGAAATTCAGTGGCGGAGTTAGGTTTACATCCGAGCGGGTGCGAAATATCTGATGTTGCCCGAATTTCTAACCTAGTTATGAGAGTCATGCCTGAAAAACTTGCGTTCGGGGCTGCGAGTCGGGCGGAACCCTCTGCTCCGCCACTGCTAAAATTTGTAGATTATTAATTCAGTATATTGCGTACCTGAACTGACACATTCAGAATATAAAACTTCTCTACCATCGTATCATAATCTAAAGTCGCTTTTAATTGGATCAAACCATCTTGTGATTTCGGCATGTGGAACTTTCCTTGACCATCCAGCTAGTAACCATAATATATAATATTGAAAAAAAATCCGTACAAGCAAGACGTTCCGTCACTACTATATAAGTTAACATCTGAGATACAATCAGATCAATTTATGTCTGACCCAACAAATCAGCCAAGAAATGATATTAAAAACCTAAAACACACTCAAAGAAAGTATCATCATCTGGTAGTTTTACTGAATCACATCCTGTAACTATGTTAAGGGCCAATAGACATGGATTAAAATTCAATTGAATACATGGTTTACACAATGAAAGCGTAGCCCGTGGTCCCCTTGGAAAATGTTGTGGTCCCTGCTCGGCCCCCTCAACTAATTTGTCCTAGACACGCCACTGATCTCCAGTGGTCGATGGTACTCATCACTAGAGATGTTTTTACCTGTGGAGATATATAATCATATATTCTAAATCCCTGTATTTCATCCATGGTTTGGTTGACGTCTTTATCCTCGGCATGAAGACTCAGTTTGATAAGTTCTGTTGAGATCATAGCGTCCTGGAATATATATGTATATATCTAATACATTGCTATATCTTTGCCTGACTCAAGTCCATTCGGCGATTAGCACGTCACATTTACGCTGCTTTCAGTGATACCGTTCGTCTTTCAAGCATCTGAAGGGGCTTTCTAAACTTTTTACGTGTATCGTGGATACTATTGCAAAAATTGCTATAGATATATAGGGACCTTTGCAATAGCGACGTCATTACAAGAACCACAGATGTCTGATTCAAAAATTGAATGGTGCAATTCGATGCTATCAGTATGCACGATACACATTCTCTTTATGATCATCTAACAATTACAACAAGACAGAAATGCAGCTATTTTCACAACATCTCAGATGATCTGGAGTGGATAAAATAAGACTGTCTTACCTCGGTGATGTTTCTTATGAATGGTGGGTTGATGAAATTAGGTGGAAACTCGTTCACTTCCAAAACTCTTAGAAAATAGTCATAATTCTACAATAGAAATGAAACAGTATTTGGTCAGTATTTTGATCCGTGTTCAACATCAAAAGATAATGATACGGCTGTGTTTTGGAAATTTTTTTTTTTCAGTTTAGTTACAACTATTAGCATAGCTTTTTTTTATGAGATCTATAAATATAAAATTTTATCAGATAAATATCTAAAAAAAAATTAACCAATTATGACCTTACCTGAGTTTGTCGATTATTAATCGTACAGTAAAACTTGAACGTAAAACTCGTTAGTAAAATTCTCTGTAAAAGTAAAAAACTATATTTAAAAAGCTAATCTGATAGGCGAGCATCGTTTCTTTAACTTGATTTATTAGCATAATCCACCATTGTAACAACATGAGATGGACATACAATGGCCAAACAATGGAGGAAATTCTGTGTTTTAGCAAATTCGCTAAAATTGCTTCTATATAATTTGTCTTAAAGGGATTGTAAAAAGGTTTTTGTACCCGACAAACTTAAACCTTTTTTACAATCCCTTTAATGATCTAATTAGTCAAGAACTAAATCAAGAAATTAAAAAGTCTACGGCTTTTGTATTAAGGGTTAATGTCCAATCGACTCTTATTACACCCTCTAATAAATCTCAATATACATCCTCGTACTCACCGTTTGTTCATAAATATCTTCAAGATCCAGTGTTTTATTGACTGAGAATATATAGGTATCATTATGCTGGTAGAAATTAAAATAGGATCTGAAGAAATCGTCGCTGGTAGATGGTGTTATTATATCAAACGACCACTCGTCATTATTAGATGTTAAATTGAATAGATAGTAGCCTGCAATAAAACGGGTTTTATTTATTTGTTTGTCGAGCATTTGGGCAAGCAGACAAAACAATTACGAAATATTGCCTCTGTACAGATTTGGATAATTTATGATAAAATAATAAAAGCAATTGACATCTTATACTTTGACAGTTTCAGATAAAGATTAAAGAATAGACCATTTTGAATAATTCTCGAATAATTGATACGTACCTGGTTCGTCTGTCTCTAAAACTCTTTTAATATTTCGTGGTGGATTCCCCTCACATTGGCTGTATACTGGAAAATATGGAATATCAAGGTTTTAAAGGGTTGTTTACTGCATCGCTACATGAAAACGGAAATGGATACAGAATTCTGTCTTCGAGCGTTCAAGGGACAGGTGCGCTATTCCTTTTTACCGATCATATTTAAGTTAGATCTTAACCATAATCACCAACTTACCCAATTGTAAGAAACTGTAAAACAATAACAGTGAATATAAGTTACACGACGCCATGTTGATTTGTATCTAGTACTGTATCACGACATTACTGTGGGTATCATGTCTGAAATGGATAGAAAATTTTTATAAATTTGTTGTTTCATAGAGCTGTAACAGAGAAATCCAAGGGGATGTAATGAAACTCGGTCGCTTTTTTTTCTTACTTTAGCATTTCAATTTTATGTGTGTAAAGCATATCATGTCTGAAATAAATAACTAAATGCTCATAAAACATTCTAATTGCATGTTTGAAATTAAAGGCATAGTAAAGAGGTTTTCGAATTTTTTGTGTGTATCGAGGACACTGATAGCATCAGTTTCCGCCATTCCAAATTTCAATCAGACGTCTGTGGTTCCTGTATTTCCACTAAAACTAGGCGTTTTATGGGGCCACTAAGTCCTTATGTGATAAAGCATATTTTGCGATTAGTGCACATAGTTAAAATGTAGACTTTATCATGGACATTGATACCATTCAAATTTTCAACCATAGACAGCTTTTGCAATAGTGATGGTTAAAATTTCTAGACTTACAGGAACCACAAACTTTTGATAGAAATTGGCCCCGAAACCCAAAGTTTAGTATAATTCTTTACAATTCAATTGGACAGTCAATATAGCAGGAGATCCTGGAGAATAATTTGAGGGTTGGGTGGTTTTAATAAAATAATAATATCTGCATGATAGTTGGAATGGAAATAGAAAATACCAATAGCTCGAGAAATTTGATCGCCTTTTCATATTCTTTCTCCTATGAGTATGCATATAGCTGATGTTATTGTGTTGTTTGAATTTCTGTTAAAACGGTGTAAATTCTAAGAAATTGTTTGCATCCAGTTCAATATTGAATCCTATCAAATACCAAAGTATATAGATATACGCTTTACATTTCAGACTTTTCAAACGCAGGGTAAATTTATCTTGGCATGTTAATAATGACATAAAGGTTGGTGTTTATTCACGAACACATTCCATGATGATAACCTTGGCAGGAATTCAACTGCTGTCAACATATTGTTTATTGTTTGATTTTGAATTTGCAAATGGTGCAAGAATCGCGAAAATCGTCTTTCCGATTGGGTGATGTGACATACTTTCATAGGATTCTTACAAAAACAACATTGATTTGCAGTGTTTCAATTCTCCAAATCTTTCAACCGACCCATCGACACCATTATTTAAGCATAAAGCCTAGAGGGGATTCATTTTGGACGGACGGTGACAAAATCTTTAAACAATAGTGATTCATAAAAACCAAAATGGCGACTTGACAACGGAACAAAATGACTGTGAAGATCAATAACTGATTACCGGTCGGTTTGTTTATTGTTTGTTTGTGTTGAAGATTTGGACAGTCGTCTGTTTTTCTTGGCGGTAAAACCAGACCATCGACACTAGAATACTGGGCATTTGATTGGCTAAAATAGATATACAAAGATGGCGGCTACTTGGTGGCAACTGAAGTGACCATACCAGGCCGAAAATATCATTAAGAGTATCATGTTACACAATTGGTCGTGTTTGTTTGATAAACACGATCTCACCATCGTCTCAAACCCGTACTAAATAGACACAATGAGTTGACAAATGGTCGTCAAAGTCAACATGGCCTCTTCCTTTCACCACACCAAAACAAACCACAGATAGTTACCATCGATTAGTAACAGAAATATCATTGCCAAACTTTTCTCGTTTGTTAGAAACCATAGTTTTTAGGCTATTGAATTATTACATCATATTGGCCTACCAGAGAATCGCAGTTAAACATCGTAATTTTCTATACTTATTATCTCTTTTATTATTGAAATTTAATTTGGTTTTATTTCCCTCTTCTACGTACCATAATTTAATATTGTAGTCATAGAAACAATTTGGAGCTCTATATTAATTAACTGATGAAAATAATATGCGTGCAATTGTTACGAACCAAATTTTTCTTCACAGCTGTAAGGTATCGAGTATAAATACGAATTAGAACGAGGCCTAAAATTCAATCTTATTCCATTTCTTAAATATGAAAAGGGTGCAAACAGTCCTTCGTTGTTGAAAACGCAATGACATCGATTTTTTGAAAAAAAATGGCCGAATTTGAACTGTTGTATCAACTGAAAGTCAAGGCGAGTTGTGAAAAAATGTCCCCTCTGTTTGTTAGGAGTTGATTGTTTAAATGTTTGTTTACATGTCAGAAATATCTAAAGTTTAACTTTCAGACACTTTTTCTTCTCCAGTTTACAATAGAAATATGTTAGATGCATGTCCTAAACACTTCGGTCAAATATTTTAATCTGAATTTGAAATTTCTAGGGGTGACATTGTGAATGGTACAGCTACAAGGATATCAGCAAAATTCAGATAGTTCTTAGCCTTCGGTTAAAAGGCAACTATGTACGCTACTTGTTCTGAATTAAGAAACTTTCAGAGGTCAAATTGTGAGCGATGCAAGAAAATGGTTAAGAATTTACCAAAGGGACTTTTCGGGGCTTCGATAATAAATAACACAATCGATATTACAATCTAAAACTGAAATCGATCGACACAAACCAAATCTAACAACAAAGCGAGCAGTCGATTCTTTTAGAAACTATGACTGATGTTTTGGAAGGGAATTTTCACCAACGCACACCGCCACCATCATTGATTGTGAATAGTCACAAGAACGTGGTGCCTACCCTTATCAATCTGAGATAGCGGATAATAAAATGTCGTTGCGTGAGATAGCGAAACCCTAAGTAGTGACACATAATAGCCTCCTAAGGTCGTGCTTTCCCATGATTGGTCATTTATATCGGAAGCGGGTATCACTTGGTTTATAAAGACTCATTAGAACGGGTGTGTGGTAGAAATCCTGCTAGATTACAATGAAAACGACAAATATGAAAAAAAAATTGTAATCGAATTTTGACTAGAATTAGTGCAAAGTAACTATGATAATTTCTAATTGCAAGCCACCAAATGCAATACATATTTCACCTCCAGAACCAAATTGAAGCACTGATCGAAATTGATCGATACATAGACTGTCAGTCTTACTAATCACGACTACAATCTCAACTATCCAGACGGTCTATAATTAGAAAATGAGAAGAATGCCAAGATGGGTAGATTTGTCAACAGTAAAACAAAGTCTTCCTGTATCTGGCTATTTCCAATATTAGTTCAAGACTAATCTCTACTTCATTTCAGCATTTTAACATTTATATTTCATATTGGACCTATGTTTACACCGATAACGCCCTGGTCACTTCGTCTTTAGCATTTGAGACTTCCACATAATGAGCTTCATAAATTCTTAAAAGAAACAAGATACAATATTCAACTCTGCAACTGGTATTGTCAACTAAGGTAAAGAGTTAATAATCGAGACCCCATTCCCTTGCCCATTTCTCTCAGAAACTGGAAACTGGATTCCTTTCGCAGAGCTAACATAATTCATACATTATTCTGGTCACATACCATGGACAATTAATGTATATAATACACATGACGACTGCCTATGTCAACTCGACCAAACACTCTCTATGTATAAAACAACCCGACTGTCTTGAGATATATTTGTTTTACTGATAAGTTAATATCAGATTAACATATCCTACTGTTCCAGTTTATATCTTACATGTTTTAACAAGCATTAAGAAATACAATGATATCGGATTATTTAATATCCTAGCAGACCGGACTGAAATGGAGTTTTACGTCCTACTTTTCTGCACCATGTGGTCTAATGAAGAGGGTGGGCTGAAACAGAGAAGATATACCAGGCTAGTAATCAGATTTTTAGCCCATATCAACCCATCCCACCTGCATCACTGAGGGGGAAACTCAGACCATGCCGGAAGTAGAGAGGTAGATGAAGAAACAGGAGGTGTGAAAGGAATGAAGTCTGGGG